GTCGTCGTCGTCGTCGTCGTCGCCGTCGCCGTCGTCGTCGTCGTCGTCGTCGTCGTCGTCGTCGTCGTCGTCGTCGTCGCCGTCGTCGTCGTCGTCGTAGTAGTAGTAGTAGTAGTAGTAGTAGTAGTAGTAGTAGTATTAGGCGACCCTTGGCCCTGCGACCCCCCTGCGGGCCCAACATGGAATCCCCTGCGGGAGGAAACCTGCGTGTCTGCTCCTCCCCTCCCCCCCCGCCCCGGCTGGCCCCGCACCCCCCCGCGGAGGTGCCGAGGCCGCCGCCGCGACCGCCGAGGCGCCCGCCGTTGCCACCGCGGCGTCCGAGCGCCCCGCAGCCGTCGCCGCCGCCGCCGCCGCCGCCGCCGCCGCCGCCGCCGCCGCCGCCGCCGTCGTCGTCGTCGTCGTCGTCGTCGTCGTCGTCGTCGTCGTCGTCGTCGTCGTCGCTGCTGTCGGCGTTTGGAAGGCAGCGTGGGATATGGCGCCGCCCGCTGGCTTGTTACACGCTGCCCCCAATCTTGGGGCTAGCCTGCAACGAAGAAGCCCTGGCAGGGGAAGGCGTGCAGCCCTCGCGGCGGGATCGCCTCACAGGGATAGCATGCTTTTCGGAGATACGATGTTGCTCGCTATCATGTCAACGGTAGCTGTACGTGGAGGAGGAGGAGGAGCAGGATGAGCAATACAGTCAACCCTCTATAACAAGGACGCGCGGTAAGGATGTCAGGGCCCTGGAAGGCCACGTCGACACGTTGCGGGCGGGAAGCGGCCAGCGAAAGCGGCCGAGGCTGGGCCGCAGGGGCAAGGATACAAGGGTAACTTTGGGAAATTGCTCATCCTTGCTAGGAGGAGGAGGAGGAGGAGGAGGAGGAGGAGGAGGAGGAGGAGGAGAGGAGGAGGAGGAGGAGGAGGAGGAGGAGGAGGAGGAGGAGGAGGAGGAGGAGGAGGAGGTGCGGGTTCACTGTAGGGGGAGGGTGGCGGGGCTTCGGGCTGCGCACGGACAGCCTTCGCGGGCAGTCCCCGCTGAGTCCAGGCCAGCCTCCACATCTCGATGCCGCCGCTGGCAGCTCCCTTGGGGCGTTCCGCGCTCCAGAATGGGGGGGTTGAGGCCCTCAGGACCTGCTCCTCCTCCTCCTCCTCCTCCCCGCTCCTCCTCCTCCTCCTCCTCCTCCTCCTCCTCCTCCTCCTCCTCCTCCTCCCCGCTCGGGGGGCCTGCTGGTGCCAGCCGGGACTCCCCAGGATGGGGGTGTTGAGACCTCCTGGACTGCTCGGAAGACCTGCTGTCAAGCAGTGGCGAGGCGTCCTGGCTTGCCTGTAGGCCCACCAGATAATGTTCTAAGCACCTTTCCAGTGGTCTGCACGAGATGATCTCAGAACATTTCAGGTTGACACCGACACCAGCCTGTTTTAATACACGGCCTGATGCTCTAAAAGCATGTTTTTTGGTATTAGATCTCTCCTTCGTACATCTGTTCAGTGAACATTTCGTAGTAGGCCTATTGGAATTCTGGGACGGTGGGTCCCTGCTCAATGCCGAGGCCAGCCAGGACTGCCTATGGGGGCTGTCTGCGCGCAGCCCGAAGGCTTACTGGAGGATGAGGAGGAGGAGGAAGAGGAGGAGGAGGAGGAGGAGGAGGAGGAGGAGGAGGAGGAGGAGGAGGAGGAGGAGGAGGAGGAGGAGGAGGAGGAGGAGGAGGAGGAGGAGGAGGAGGAAGAGGAGGAGGAGGAGGAGGAGGAGGAGGAGGAGGAGTCCGAGGAGGAGGAGGAGGAGGAGGATGAGGAGGAGGAGCTTCCCTCCCTCCCGAGGCGAGCCTTGGCCGTAGGCCTTCAGTCGTTCTGCGGGTTGGTTCGGTGTCCCCTCCCCCTCCCCCAGCGCGCTGCCTTACCGCTCTATTTTGGGACGGGCGCGCGCCTACTGGTCGACCCCCTCCCTTAGGATGCGTGCTAGGTCGGGTCTGTGCCAGCTTGGGGTTGCCGGAATGTGCATGTTCGGGCCGCGCCCCCCAAACGACGTTTACACATGCAGTATACCTTTGGAAAGCATTTATTTTTCTAGTGTATCCCGGCCGCATTTTCATGTGATTTGCATTTTGGGTGGTTCTTATGCCTGCAGAGGGTTGCGGCCGAGCGCCCGTGCCAAGTTCTATTCTCTTCTCTCCGCCCACACCTCCAACGGCGAAGGCCGCCTCCGGGAATGAGGTGGCTGCGCTGGGGTAAACCTTGGGACTGGGGGCTGTCGATCACTTCGCCCTCCGCCAGTGGCCCAGAACCAGCAGATGCGCCACGATCGTTGTTGCGTGGTAGCCGACCCCGAGCCAGACCTCGGGGCCGATTTTGGAGGTCGTCGCGGCCATGGCGGAGGCCACAGATCGGGGCACGGTTCCTGTCAAGGAGTGGCATATCCTTTCCCAGCCCCCCCCCCCACGCTCTGACAGAGAGCTCTCAGTTTATGTCTCACACGGGCAATCGTGTTTTTTCCCAGCCATCCTGTGGTGTTAGGGTCCTCGTTTTGAAGAGACAGCGCCCCTCGTTCCTCTCCTCCTCTCCTCCCCCACCCCTCACGAGGCTAATGGCCCCATATGGGGGCTCTACCGAAGGTCCTGGTGGCGCCGTCCGCATGCGTCCGACCCACCCATTGCGGCACACCCTTCACGAGAATCGCGGCCCGATGGGGGGGCTCCTCCGAAGGTCTCAGGGGCGTTGGACGCACTCATGCGTCCATGTCGACATCCCTCACGAGGATCGTGGCCCCATAGGAAGCTCCACCGAAGGTCCCAGGGTTGCCGCCCGCATGCGTCCGACCCAAGCCCCACCGAAGTTCCCAGTGGCGCCGCCCGCATGCTTCCGACCGGCCCATTTCGACACACCCATCATGAGGATGGTGGCCCCGCACGGAGCTCCACCGAAGGTCCCAGTGGCGCCGCCCGCATGCGTCCGATCCGCCCATTTCGGCACACCCCTCACGAGGATCGTGGCCCCATAGGGAGCTCCACCGAAGATCCCTGCGGCCGTCCTCGCGAGCGCCGCCCCCGCCCGCTTCGGCACGTGGCCCCGTAAGGAGCTCCACCGAAGGTCGCAGCGGCCGTCATCGCATGCGTCTCCCCCGCATCCCGCATGCGGTACCTGCCCTATGTTGGCACACCCCTCACGCGGTCCGCCCGTCTCACGCGGTTCGCGGCTCCACAGGGAGTTCCTTTTCGATCGTCTAGCTTGCCCTGCGGTATTCACAACTGTCACAACTGCATACGGTGGGGTCCTGTGCCAGGACAAGATGTCAGGGGTCGATCATCACCCAACCGGATCTGGCGATCGAGAAGCCGCCGATCGTTGCAGGTTGATCTTCCCATGCAGTGTCAGCAACCGGAGACGGGGTTGTCACGACACGAACCTGCCGTATGTCAAGGGAGGAAAAACCACCCCGACCCCGACAATTGGCGTTTACTAAACGACCCTGGGCGTTTACTAAACGGCCCTGCCCTGTTTGATTCTTTCTTCGGGTGCGTTTACTAAACGGCTTCGCTTGTCGGGGTGGTTATTCTCGGGGTGGATTTTTTTGCCCTCCAGTATGAAGGGTGGAGGTGTGGTAGGCGTCCTTTGGCCTCGCCGCGTGCCCGCTCCCCAGCCTCCAGACTCCGGCCGGTGCGGCGCGCGCGGCTGGAAAAGCAGGGAAAGGCGGTCGCGGAGGAGTCGGGGATACGTCAGACTCGCGTTCGCCGGAACTTGTGTGCTTGCCGACGCTTTTGGACGCCCCATTTCCTGGATTTTGGCGGTCCAGTTTTCGTTGGATGTCTGCAGCGGGAGCTCGTGTCAAATTTTAGATTGGGCGCCGTCATTTTTCTGATCCTCGCCCCTTCTTCCTCCTCCTCCTCCTCCTCCTCCTCCTCCTCCTCCTCCTCCTCCTCCGCCTCCGGCTCCGCCTCCGCCTCCTCCTCCTCCTCCTCCGCCTCCTCCTCCTGTTCCTCGTCCCCCCCCCTCCTCCTCCTCCACCTCTCCCTCCTGCTGCCCAGCCCCGCGACCCCAGGGGGTGCCCGCCGTCTTCTCGCCCGTGGACGTCGTGAAGGCCGGCGACCTCTCGATCACCGAGTTCTTCGGGCGGGTGGCGAGCAAGGACGAGCGCCTCTCGGCCTGCCTGGCCGTTGTCACCGGGCCCTGCGCCGAGGCCTACCAGGCGCCCGCGTTCGACGAGTACGTTCTGGTCCTGAAGGGCAGGCTGCAGCTGCACCAGGCGGACGGCGTCACCGAGGTGGAGCCGGGGCGGGCCGTGCTCCTGAAGGCCGGGGAGCGCGTCAAGTGGGTGTGGCCAGGAGATCGGGGGGCAGCGACGCGGGGGGGGTGCGCCGAGGGGGGGAGCTCGGGCCCGGGCTCGGCCCCGGGCTTGGGCCAGGGCTCTGGCTTGGGCCTGGGCTCGACCATGGCTGGGGCTCGGCGCGTTCGGGGTCGGGGTCGGGGGTCGGGCTCGGGCTCGGGCCAGGAGCGTGTGGTTTCCTTGTCGGGGCCCTGTCGCTGAAGGCGACGTATTGGCGGTTCCAGGTCGATATTCACCCGCCCTCAGGATCCCGCAAAAGGTGTGTGTGTGTGTGTGCCTTGGTGTGTGTATATATGTGTGGGTGTTTGTGTGTGTGTGTGTGTGTTGTGCGTGTGTGTGTGTGTGTGTGTGTTTGTGAGAGAGAGAGAGAGAGAGAGAGTTCGATCGGTTTTTGCACCGAACCGCCCAAAGCAGACGCCCCTCCAGCCGCCAGCAGCTTCTGATAGTTGCCGATCTTTGGGGCATGCGGAGGGCATCTGTTTGCGGCAGTTCGGTACACCAGCGGATCGAACTCGTGCCCCCCCTCAGGGTCACCTCCTCTTTGGTGGATCCCGACCCCCCTGCGCCGGTCTCGACCAAAAAGCAAATGACACCACCCCGCCCACGGCCCTCCACGTTGCGCCACGGCCCATCGGGTGCCGTAGCGCATACAACTAGAGATCCCACGCCAGATTTCCTGGTATACGCTCAGCCCCTGTGGGGCCGTAGGTGGGGTGGTGTTGTTCGTTTTCTGGTCCACTTGTCGTTCTCCCCTAGGAGAGTGCACCTACATCCCCATCTGCCTGCCGGCGTTCTCCCCGGACAACTGCCACAGGGAGCAGGAGGAGGGCGCGGCCAAGGATGAGGCGTGCATGGCCCGTCTGCACGAGCTCCACGGCGCCGCAGGCGCGCCAGAATTGGTGCAGGCTGCGTGACCGCCGTGCGGTTGGGGCACCTCCTGGCTGGAGGGGAGCTGCTGCCCGTTGGGCGCTTCCCTCCCTCCACGCCCCCCTGAGTCGGATGCTCCTCTCCCTGCTCGCCCTCCTGAGCCTCCCTCCCCCTCTCCCTCCCTCGATTTTCTTCTCCTCCCCCCGCGTCCCTTCCCTCCCCTCCCCCCCCTCCCCCTCCCTCGAGCAACTTGGGCTCAGGCTCAGGATTTCGAGGTCGTGTCAGTGTAGTTACAGAAAGCTGAGGCTCTGCGCCAAGCTGTACACGAGCGCATGGCCAAGAAGCGCAGGGTTCAGCCTGGTGGTGATGGCCAGCCAGGTGTCGCGAAAGGAGGAGGCGCGGCTCCAGCTCAGCCTGAAGGCGGAGGCTTCACCAGCGGTGGTCAGAGCACGGCGCCGACGGGAGCAGCAGGAACCGCCTCTTTCCAGGCCGAGGCGGCCAAGGAGGACGAGCGCTTACTCGAAGCGGCGGCCAAGAAGATCTCGGGCGCCAGGTGCGAGGCCCAGCGGAAGGTGGTGGAGGAGCAGGAGGCCAACTCCACCAAGTCCCTGGGCGAAGGCAAGGGCCTCCCGAAGGCCCCCATTGGGGGCGCAGGCGTCACAGTGACTAGCCTCTCAGCAGGGGGCCAGCTGTGAGGGCGAGAGCTCGGTCGTGGACGGCACGATGGGCCACCCTCACGCGAAGCACGAGGGGGAAACGGGTGACAGCGATATCACGAGTATCGGCGACACGGCTTGGCACGTCTTCAACCAGAAGAAGAACGATTACCCGGGCATCGTCGAGATTTACGCGAGTGAGTCTGAACTGGCGAGGTGGGATACGAAATGTCGGTGATGGATTTCGGCTTATTTCCAACGGTGGGCGTCAGAAACTCAAGCGCGTTGCCACGTCTCAGGAGGTGAAATCCAACGGGGGCGGCGAGTGGGTTCTAGCACGAGGGCATCTACAGCTCGAAGCTTTTCTTGGTCAGTTCGCTGCCGGACCATTGGCAGCACCATGCCACAAGCAGCACCATGCCACAAGCAGCTCAACCGCTTCGTCGCGGTCGTGCTGCGCATGAAGGGCTACAGCATCGTGTGCATAATGTTCTACGCCTACCCGCCCATCGGTTTCAACGGGCCCAACCTTGCGCGCTTCCAGCGCCTCGGAGTCCTCCTGAACAGTCTATTGCTTCCATTGGTTGTCACATGTGGGGTGGTGTTTCAGTTTTGGCAGCCGACGTGGGGGCTATCTGCAACGCTGGTCCCAGCGGAGGTTTGCACATTGATTGTTTCGGTTTGTTTCGCGTCTGAGGAAGATCGCTGGGCCGAAGGTGCGAGCTCTGCGTCTGCTGGTCCTGCTTCGCATAGCGTTGGAGCCTGGTGAGGCCTCCCGTAGTTCTGCCCCCGCGGGCCCCGAGAAGACGGCGAAGCCAACGCCTGCCTTGGAAGCTGACGCCACGCGCCCCCCGCGTCCGATGAGTTGCGCTGGCTGGCCCCCGATGCAGAGTGCAAGGGCCCCGCCTGGACTCCTCCCTCGTGCTCTTCGCCCTCTGTGGGCCCCGAGGATCCGTCGAGGAGCGATCGTGGGGGCGTCTCCGGGTCTGTTTGGTTTCGGGTGCCCGATGAGCCGTGGGCAGAACGCCGTGCCGAGGCAGGGTGCGCGCCTGGCCGTCGGTGCCGCCCCTCGCCCGCACTCCTCCGCTCCGCAGCCTTTTCTCGCTCGGCGGCGCACCCGCTGTCCTTGTGATGCTCTCCGCGTGCGCTTCCTGGGCCGGCGCGGCCGAGACCGCCGTGCGGATTCGGCGTGGCCAGGGTGTTTCAGGAGGGAAAGAAACACACAGACACAATTAATCGTCGAGTCCCAGGAAAATATAGGAAAATATGGGAATTGGGCGGGAAGACAAACACCCAGAAAATATGGGGAAATATGGGGAATCATTTTATTTGCGTGCATTTATTTGTGTGTCCCAGGGCCCCTTCAGTGTTGGTGGAGGCGCGTCTGGCGGAGAGTCTGCTGGGCTCAGGTGAGGCGACGTACAGCGGCAGGAACAGCAGCGGGCAGCGGCGCATCGTGATGTCGTGGCCAGCTGGTCGACGCGCTCGCACGCGACCTTGCGCGGCTTGCACCGGCGCCTCGAGGCGGGCCCAGGCCGCAAGCAACGAGGCCGTTTCCCCGAATCTTTCAAGCAGCATGTGAACGATAGGCTCGAGAAGGCCCGCGCTGTTCTCGGAGCTCAGAGGGGCCCCTCGATGGCAGCGGCTCTTCCAGGAGCTGTTGCAGGAGGTGGTGTCCATCGCCAGCTGCGCCGACCCAGCCCATCACCCGAGGGGCCAGAATGCAGATATCAGCGATGCCGTTCGGAAATAGGCACCACCTCCCGGCAAAGAGCGGCATCTTGATGAACGTGTTCGGGCTTCCACGCGTGTGGCTGGCCAGTGCTAGCGGCGTGTAGTGCTGGAGTCTCTCAGTGAGTGCGGCGCCAGGACGGACTCATCAGCTGCCTTGGGCTCTTTGCAGAAGGGTCAACTGCAATGGCCCCTGGTCAAGCAGCGGTTGGAAGTTGATGGGGTGATGTTGAAGCACCTTCGTGGTTCAGGCGATCGCAAAGCTCAGCTCAGAGGTGGCGACGGCTATGGCCCCCATCCGCAGCGGCAGTCGACGAGGCGCAGAGGGCTCTCGCGATCGCCCGTGAGAGGACGGGCAACGAGCCTCTCCAACCCATCGCAAGCGAGGCCATTCGTCGAGCAGCTCATCAAATGAACGCTGGAGCAGGTTTCGGAGTCGATGGGATCGCGCCTGCCAGGATCGAGTCTTTCCTCGGCTGCGCTCGAGGAGATGGCCCAGATCTATTCCGTCGTATAGGCAGATGTCGCACGGCCTTATCAAGCCAGGCTAGTCTTGGGGGCGCGAAAGCGGACGGCGACCTCGTCGTGAAGTTGCCCTCCATATGCAGTCAGATATAGTCGCTCATCGGAGAGGAGGATGTGCAAGCGTGGTCCGACCAGGTGTCCACTTCAGGGGCGCCGCGGTGAAGGGGGGTGCGGCGCTGCGTGCGTGCCGTGCAGGGGGGGGCGGGGCACCCGCCGCGGGTCCCGCCAGGGGCGGGGCCTCTCGACGTCGGCGGTTTTTTTACGATACTGCACGCTGGGAGTGCCTCCCCCCGTCCGCCCTGAGGGGTGGGCTCCCCAGCGGCCGCCCTGTGCCTCGAGGCGCTCCAGTGCGCTGCTCCTCGTGCCCCCGGGGCAGCGCGACTCGTGCGCGCCCCCGATCGCGCCCGTGCAGTCCATCGCGCAGGGGCTCCGGTCGGGCGCCAGGCTCGGGCGCGCCTCGGCCTGCTGCGCGCCGCGATGGGGTGCGCGCCCCGCGCGCCCGCGCACGGGCCGCAGGCGATGGGTCGACGACCCGGCTCAGCGGTCGGTCGGGTCGAGGTCGAGGGTGCGGCGGGAGCTCGTGGCCGGCCCGCTCGCCGCCTGCCTGAGGGCCTGCCGAGGTCGGGCTCCAGGCGGCGAGCAAGGGAGGCTCGTGGGGTGCTCGCGTCGCCCCAGTGCCGTTCGAGCTGCTCCTGCTCTCAGGCTGGCTGGACCTCCTCCTCCTCCTCCTCCTCCTCCTCCTCCTCGTCCTGCTCCTCCTCCCTCCTCCTGCTCCTCCTCCTCCTCCCTCCTCCTCCTCACTCCTCCTCCTCCTCCTCCTCCTCCTCCTCCTCCTCCTCCTCCTCCTCGTCGCGTTCTCTTCAGGCCGATCTCGGAGCTGGAGGTGGCCGCGTCGGAGCCGCTCGGCACGTGTTTCCTACGGGTGCGAGGCGATGCGCGCCAAAGTCAGGACATGTGCACCATTCCTCGCTTCACTCCTCGCCCTCAAAGCTCCCGGGGACCTGTCAGGAGGGAAAGAAACACACAGACACAATTCATCCTCGATTTCCTTGAAAATGTGGAAAAAATGGGAAGTGGGGGGGAGACAAAAAACCCGAAAATATACGAAGATATGGGGAATCCTGTTACTTGTGTGTATTTATTTGGGTGTCCCAGGGCCCCTTCAACCTGCCCTCAAGATGCCTGAGGATTGTGTGCGTCTGCGGGCCAGGTTTCAACTTTGGCATCGTGAAAAAGTGGCCACCCATCGTCGACGGGCTGACGGCAGTGGCATCGGGGCGCAGATTCCGACGCATCCGATGTCCAGTATCAGCCGTCATCACCCTGCTGGTAGATGCTGTTTGGACGCCCGACTCAGCTATTCAATGGACCTTTCCATGTCCCGGTCGCTCGAACATCGGCGGGGCGACGGGGTGGCATGTCCCTGGCAAGGCGTAGATGAGTTGGCCGGATGTCGATGATCCAGCCCCTTTGGCTCCGGATCTTAAGAGTTCAATTTGCATCGTATTCTGGTCTCAAGTTGCGGCGCCATTTTGGCGGTGGGCTTGAGTCAGGGGCCGATGTTGAATTCTTTTGGCGCCTTTATCATCGCTTGCTTGCTCTGCCCAGTAATCGTCTAGCTGGGGTTCAGGTCGCCGTAGCAGCTAGGGCTTCGTGGCCGCGGGTTCGTAGAGTTGAAGTGGCGGAAGCGGCGGGCAAGGGGGTCGTCGTCCCTCGCTTTTATGCCCGTTGTGGTGTCGTAGATGAGGGTGACTTTCGTCGGTCCTGGGGAAGTGTGGGTAATGCAGATTCTACAGCTTGTACTCATTCGAACCCGTTAGCATATGCGGCGCAGGTCAATTATCAGACATCTTAATGTTTCTGCTTGCGGGGTCCCAGTCCTCAGGATCGGGCTGCGCGGCATCGGCCCCCCGTCCATCTTTCGGAGGCGCGAACGGAATCGCGGATCCAAGCCGCAACGGGTTCAGGAGAGCAGGAGCCTCAGTGGTGGCCAGAGTCCGATCGTTCACACTGTTCTCAGTGTCTGCTGTAGTGTCTGTTCCTCGAGCGCTCCGAGCGGTGTGCTGCCAGCGCTGCTACTGACTGCTCCGTGCGCCGAGTGCCGCGTAGCGGACGTGACCGACAGCAGTGGAGTGGCGGACGCGTGGGCTTACCAAGCCGACCTCCGACCGTCAGGGCCAGACGAAGCTTTGTGGCGTGACGTCGGGAAACTATTCAAAGAGAGAGAGAGACGCGTCCTTCTTCGATGTGCTGAGAACCGACAGCCACGTCAAGGCGGCCGACCTTGTCCGAAATTGGTAAGTTAGTCGCGTACGTCCTTTCCCGAGCAGCAGCCAGCTGAGCCGGAGTATCAGAGCACGAGAGATACGCAGATCACAGTGTGGAAAAGAAGGCGTTTGTTGCCCGACTACGCCTTCTCACAGCAGCAACAGACACTCTGTGGGAAATGAGGAAAATCTCGCTGAGCCAGGCCTGAGGACTAGGCATGAGGTCCGTACATTTCCTCCTCCATCATCATCTTCCTGGCAGGTGCTTGCAAGCCCACATAGCTTCGCTGAGTGCAGCCGCCGATGCCTCCGATGGCGTCGTAGCTCCGCAGCCCTTGCTAGACAGTCTCTGTGGCGTCCTACGTCCTGTTTCACTCCTGGTTCAGTAAACTGTTTCGTTTGCCACCGTGGGGAATTGACATCTAACTGGGGATTGGGTGCACCAAAGTCACCAGACGCAATTACGTATGGGGCTTGAGCTTTGGTTTTTTTGTAGCATGCGTGGACACTTTGCAAGTCAAGATCGGGGGCATGTGGCAAGATTGTCACAAGGGTACGAGCCCCTCCCGAGCCGAGTCTTTACACCGAACCTTTGTCGGGCCAGTGGCCGAAGGTGCGACGTCGGGCTGAAGAAGTAACTGGGCTTTCGAACTCGCTTCGCGGCTGGCATCGCTCACTCCCCCCCCCCCCCTCCTCCTTCCCTTCCCCTCCCCTCCCCCTCCCCTTCCGTCCCCCGCCCATCCCACCCCTTCCCTCCTTCCTCCTACTCCTCCTCCTCCTCTTCCTTCTCCTCCCTGCCCCCTTCCTCCTCCCCCGCCCCTCAGTCCGTCCATCTCGTTCCCTCCCTCGCTACCTCCCCCCCGCCTCCCTCCCCCCCTCCATCTCTCGTCCTCCCTCCTCCTTCTGCTCTCCCTCCCCCCGCGGCTTTCCGCGGCTTTCCGTGTGGTTTCTGGCACGCGCCTGCGCGCCTGGCGCGGCGCGCGACGAAGATCCCACGCCTTCGGCGGCGCGGGGGCCGCCAGCGCGCCCCCTGTTGTTAGCTTCTAAGACGACTGCGCGCGGCGCTAAGGCGAGAGACCCATTTTGTAAACGACCTCACCTCAATCATTGAAGCTACTGCTAACATTTACGAAATGTGCGCAGCAGTAAGGCGAGGGCCCCATTGTGCAAACGACTCGCCACTTCATATTTTCGTACGTGGTGAGGAAGCGCCTGCGACCCACCCGACCCACCCTAACGACGCGCCAGGGGATGCGACGGGGAGGAGTTACCTATGGGAAAAAACGGTGGTTGATGATCGTGATGATGTTGACGGTGACGACGATGAGGATGATGATGATGACGATGATGATGATCATGATGCTGATGATGCTGCTGCTGATGATGATGATGCTGATGACGACCATGATGATAATGTTGATGTTGCTGCTGCCGACTATAATGATGATGCTGATGCTGACACTGATGATGATGCTGATACTGATGATGATGGTGATGATGCAAATGATGATGATGGTGATGCTAGTGATATTTATGATATTTACGATGCTGCTGATGATGATTATGATGCTGATGAGGATGATGATGACGACGACGATAATGATACTGATGATGCTGGTGATGGTTACGATGATGATGCTGATGACGACGACGATGATGATGCTGCTGATGATTATTATGTAGATGTGTTGCTGCTGCTGATGATGATGATGCTGTTGCTGATGATGATGATGAGACTAATGATGCTGTTGATGGTGCTGATGCTGATGCTGATGACGACGATGATGATGATGCTGATGCTGCTGATGTTGAGGATGCTGATGCTGATGATGATGCTGATGCTGATGATGCTGTTGATGATGCTGACGATGCTGATGATGGTGATGATGATGACGATGATGATGATGACGATGATACTGACGATGCTGCTGCTGCTGATGATGATGATGCTGATGATGATGATGATGATGATGGTTGTAATGATAATGATGTATTTGCTGGTGCTGATCAGGATGCAGGTGATGATAATGATGATGAGGATGCTGATGCTGATGATGATGATGGTGCTGATGACGATGACCATGACGATGATAATGATGATGATGATGATGATGATGATGATGATGATGATGATGATGATGATGATGATGATGATGA